CAGCTGTACAAAAACATTTTCTTTATAGTCTCATTCTATCAGCTTTTTTATATTTTAAAGTTTTTCTTTTATTTTTTAAACTTTTTTGTTAAAAACTAAGACTCAAACAATCCATTAGCCTAGGCCTACATCAATATCACTGTCTTCCAACTCTACATCTTGTCCCACTGGAAGGTCTTCCGAGGCAATAACATGCATGGAGCTGTCATATCCTATGATAATAATGCCTTCTTCTGGAATATCTCCTGAGGGACCTGCCCAAGGCTCTTCTTGAGGAGGTGTCATTCTTTTCAGGAATACATCCATGATGGTTTGCCTGGTTTGTTTCTTTTTTCCATCACAGGTTTGCTTGTAAGCAGTTAACGTGCCATGAATGTTCCCTTCTATTAATGAAAACCTTTTGTTGTTGGGGTTCATATTTGTAAACATCTTTTTTTAGATTGGCCCTTAGTTACCATCTGTTGCCAGTCTTCTACTTTTATTTTCTCCCCAGTGCCCCAGTAGATGGTTGTATATGCAAGTTGTAGGTCATTCTAATTCTTCTATGTGGGATGCCGTCACAGCATGGCTTGGTGAGCAGTGCGTAGGTTTGTGCCCAGGATCCGAACCAGTGAACCCTGGGACACAGAAGCAGACCATGCAGCCTTAACCACTTGGCCAAGGGGCAGCCCCTTTTCAAACTTTTTAAGGAGTTTGTTGGGGTCTATAAAAGCTTTTGCTGAACTCTTCACTGTGAATTTTCTTGGAGATTCTTCTGCAGTTTTCTTTTCTCTTGTCGCTTCTTCAACTATGCATTCCTGTTCTGGTTCCAACATCTCCTCCTTAGTGAATTCCTCAGGAACCATCTTAGGGGCTCCTGAGTGTCATCATCATCCATGCCCAGGTTAAAGTTGTTTGCCATCTCAACCACAGCCTTGTTGGTTTTTGCAACCTCCTCATCCCTGGCAAACCATTTGAAGTTAGGGATGAACCTCTTGAATGTCTTCTTCCAGATGCCACTCATACACTCCTTAGTGACATCACTCCGAGCCCAAGCATGGTTCTTGATGCAGTCATAGATGTTGTAATCCTTCTAGAATTGCATCAGTGTCTTCTCAATATCTTCCTCAGTTGTAGCAAGAGTCTGGGCAAAGGTTCTCCTCAGTTAGTAAGCCTTAAAAGCTGCTATACCTCCCTGATCCATTGGTCAAATAAAAGAGGTGGTGTTTGGAGGGAGAAACCCTGACTTGATATTGGGATGAAGATCACCAATAAAAGAAGGATGTCCAGGAGCGTTATCAACAACAAGCAAAATCTGGAAAGGTATGTTATTCTCCAAATAGCACTTCTCCATTTCTCTGGCATTGCAATTCAGGAGTTCATCTTGGAAGAGGAGCTGGTCATCCATGACTTCTTACTGCTCCTGTAGTACACTGGCAGTGTGTGCTTATTGATAGGCCTGGATACCCTGGGGTTCTCACTGTGCCAGACCAAAAAGGGTTTCAATTTGTAGCCTGCACCATTGCCCCCAAGCAAACTGTTACTCTGTCCTTAACAGCCTTGAAACCTGGCATTCACTTGACCTCCTTAGGGATGAAACTCCCTTCAGGCATGTTTCCAGAATAGGGAGCTTTCATCCATATTGAATCTTTGCTCTGGCAAGTAATTTTCCTTTACAATCAGCTTTTCTAGATTTTCCAAAAACTCTTCAGCTGACTTCACATCAGCACTTGCAGACTCACCACTCACTTTCACATTATGTAATGAACAGCGATTCTTGAATTGTTTAAACCATTCAGAACTACCAGTAAGTTCACATAGTTGGGTCTAGCCTTTTCTTTGAACATCATAAACAAACTTTTTGCTTTAACTGTGATCATGATGGTGCCGAGAGGAACATGCTATAGTGTCTGGTGTACAATCCAGGTCATTAGAAGTTTCTCCATGTCTGATATTGGATCTTCTCGAAGTTTTGTTAGTCTTGTTGCCCTCAATAAAGCAAACTCTTTAACAGCTTCCGTCACTTTGTTCTTCTGCTTCAAGATTTTTCTATGGTGGAATAGGACATGCCTGACTGGCAAGCAATAACCATCACTGATTTTCCACCTTCATAGTCCTTAATCACTTTTAATTTCATTTCCCAATCAATCACTCTACGTGGCCTCTTACTGGCATTGTTAGCAGTGGATTTTGTATGCTTAGGGGCCATGATAAACAAAACAACATGAGACTAAATCAAGCACAAGAGAAAATGGTGCAATCAAGAGATGCCGTAAACATGAGATGTATGAGGCTGCTAGTAGTGTAACACACATACAGTTTTACAGTAAACTTTTTCTTTTATAAGTAGAAAGAGTATATTCTAAAATGATAAAAATTATAGTACAGTAAATCCACAAACTAGTAACATAGTTGTTTATTATCATTATAAGTATTACGTATTGTACATAATTGTATTGCTCTACTTTTATATGACTGGCAGCGCAGTAGGTTTGTTTACAACAGCATCACCACGAATATATGAGTAATGCATCATGCTATGACATGACAAGGACAATGACATCGCTAGGCTGCATTATAATCTTATGGGACCACCATCGTATATAAGGTCTATCGCAGACCAAAGCGTCATTATGTGATGCATGACTTTATATAGTTTTAACCCTAATTTTTCTCATTGGAAGAGTGATAGATTATAGATCCATCTTCCAGAATGCTTTAGATGAGAAGTAGAGAGAGGGGAGATTTCTTCTCATTGGTCTATTTCCTCCTAAGTAGCATTTGCTGAAAAGGGAGCCTTTGATTTCATTTTGCGCCTCAATTGATTTATCTTACCCAGTGAAACATAGTTTAGCAATACTAGGAAATAAAGCATTTGTTGTAAACAGCAGTTGCAACCAATACAAGATTGTTACTTTGTCTTTTTTTAAAATCAAAATGTTTTTTATTCATAAAAACTTGGTATATTCTCCTTTCCTTATCTCCATCAATGAGATAATAACAAACAAGAAGTTTTAAATTCTCCTACACAGATAGATATTTTAAAATTCAAATATGTTAGCACAAAGAGATTAAATATTGTCATTAAATTTTGCAGTTTGATATTTTTATTCTAACAAAACAGTAGAAATGTTAAAAAATGATTTAATATGTGGCTAATTTTTATTAGAAGTAAGCAAGATCATGCACACTTTCAGCTCTTTTTGAAAAATTAACTTTAATGGCAATTATTAGTGAAAAAAAAAAACCTTAGCTAATTCAGAATAGAATTCTTGAACATCCCTTTTCAACTTGCTAGGCTAACATAATGGGGCCAAGTTTACCTTCAGTCAACTTTTGGGATTTTAACTTGGAAGTTCTGGAAACCAAGCTAGTCTTTTAAGTGTAGTACCACCTCCACATTAGCCTCCTGGATTTGTTGAGCTAATGTGTCATTGGCCCTATTTCTCAAGCTGTTACTTTTCCATTTTTGAAGAGTAATGTTCTTGGCCAGCACTGTATGATATAGACTAATGATGGGACTCTCCATCCTCTAACTGCTATACCTGTAACACAACCCTTAATCAGCAAAGTCTGCTTTTGACAATTGAAAACATAAACATTACAGATAGGATAATGATACTCACAAATCAATTAAATTGATTGGAGCTTGCAATGTTGATACATCATTTAGTTTTGCAGACAGGTATCCTTAATGGGACAGGACAGGAGCTACCTTTGGTTCCCAGAGAACTTTTCCTCAGAGCATTAAACTCACATACACGTTAGCATTACATTCATTTTCATGGTAGGTGGTGGTGCTTGGATTTAAAAAGGGCTAATATTCATTTGTAATTTTCTCAGTAATTTTAAAGTGCTTTGTGATTTTTGCTTTTGAAAAGAGGAAAGGAATATATCAGAGCCGTCACGAATCTTTCATACCCTGATACCCTACTCCCCCCGCAATCCACAGATCTTTTATTAAATTTCACTATGCCTCCGTAGGAAATGTGAATAGTCATTGAAACTGGTTCTATGCCAGGTCTTGAAAGCTGATACACTGAAAAGGTACCCAGCGTATGTTAAATGAACACCAAACTCCCTGGCAAGGAAAGGACTAATGTGAGACTATGACACAGTTAAATTTAGAAACGGGATTAAAAATAGTTCATGGGTTTTCATTTCAAGGTCATTCACAGACACATTTTCACAGTCCTGTGGGATTCCATTCCAGCTGGATTCCATTTCACGTGAGGGGTAGTCTTTTATTTTTCCAATCTATTAAGACTTTGAAGATATATGAGAAAGGAAACTAGTACTTATTAGGGATCTACTATAGTCCTGAGATTGTGCTAGATGCTTCTCTTTACATCGAATGATTACAATTATAATAGTAATACTAGCTGATGTTTTTGGATGCTTACTAGGGGAGAGACTGTGCTAAGTAATTTCGATTCCTAGTTATACTTTTTCTAACCAAAAGCTCATGGGTTTTACAAATGAAGAACTGATGCTTACAGAGGTTTAATAACTTGTTAAAAGTGGCTACCACTTTTACTAACTGGCAGAGCAAGATTTGAACCTCAGTTTCTTTGCCTCCAAAGCCCATATTGACCAAAGAATGTCAATACAAATGCTTTGGAATCCCATTGTGCATTAATGTCTTCATTTGTGAACTGCTAATGGTAACACCTACCCAAGAAGATTGTTGTGAGAATAAAATTAATGAATGCATATAGAATTTTTATAATGATAGTGCCTGGTGTATGGTAAACATTCAAGAAACATTAGCTATTGGTATTTTTGTTTAAAGACAAAAATAATTAGTAGGTTGTTATATTTCAAAATATAGTGATCTTTTCTTTATGTTTTATCTTATTTTACTATTATAATACAAAGCATTAAACAATATGAAAATATTCTCCTTCCATTCTAACTTCCCAATACTTTAAAATAGCAAAGTTTGAAATATTTATGCAAATTGTTCTTTAATTTAATATTTATGGGATCTATGACCTGTTATGTAAAATCAGTGTGTCACAGCTAAAGTCATTTTAAAAGCAACATACACTAAAAGCTTTACTATTTGATTCTCAAACCACTATTTCACTTTCAAAATGTTCATCGTCCTAGAGAAAATGATACATTGAATATAAGGCATCATGTGCAATTAACTGTGCTGTTAGTTGTTCCCACCACACAGGTAAAGTTTAGAGGTTCAGACATTGGCGGATTTTTTAAACCAACCCTAAAATTCTTTTCTCTCATATCCTTTAGGCCAGGGAAAATTGTTCCTGTATTGTAGACTTCAATCTGTTTCTCAATTTATTAGTTATACATTATCTAGCAGCAGCCATTCAAAAGACATTTTGGCAGAAAACCTGTTCTTAAAATGGCTGAGTTTTCAACACCTCAATGAAATAACTTTTAGGGCTGGGCTCTTCCTCAGTTTACAAGAGTGGTAACAGTATGCACCTGTTATTCCCTTCTCCGGACCTTTGCCTCCCAGTGGGCAGAAGGCTTGCCAAAAGCTGACCGCTCTTGCTGAAATGTTTTTGTAACTGACATCACTCAGCCTCTCAGAATAGCAGTTTTATCCAAGCTTACAATTAGTAAAAAGCTTTTGAAGTGCACTGAAACCTTAGCAAGCCATCCCAGCAGGAGCTGGCTCTTAAGAAGGCTTCTTTTACTCTGCTAGGCCAGAAAAAGTGGCCTGTTAATATCACTTTTTAGTCATGCTTGTGTTTCAAAGAGGTCAACACTTAACCGAGTTATTCAATCAATAATGTTGCCTTTAAAACAGAAAGGGTGCTGTAAGTACAGTGTGTAAATCATTAGTGCTGTTCACTAGCTATTTTTGATATCTGGCTACCTAGTGGGATTTTCTTTCTTGATTTTTTTTGCTTGGCATCCTCAGGTGAGTCCATATGACTAGTTCTGGCCAAAGGAGTCATGAACAGAAGTAGCATGCATTACTTCTAGGCCAGAGCATTTAATTGCCAGAGTGAAACCCTCATGAATTCTTTCCTGCTGCTGCAATGATTGACAGCATTCCAGATAGTGGCTGTAGCATCTATCAATTTGTCTCTGAAACACAATAAAATGAAGAACTCTCAACTGATCTGCACTGGATGTACCAAGTAAGCAAAACAGTAAATGTTTGTTGTGTTAGCCACTGAGCTATTTAGGGTTATTTGTTACCACAGCATTACCAAGCCAATCCTGATGGATGCACACGACAGGAATTACAAATGAAAATTCGTGGCCATTCAGAGAGCAAACTGGAAAAGGGAAGCTGGGATTTTTAGAAAGTCATGTTTATAGCCTTTAATGGCATATTTATACTTCTTGCAATAGACCTAGGGACCTAGATTTTGTTTCATAGGGACCTAGAGCCTACGATTGGATCCGTTATTTATGAAGTCAAGACCTAATACATGAGTTGTCATTATGAAGCAAGCACTCCTAGTGAATTTTTGCAATATCTTAAACTTTCTTTTAAAATATATATGTGGTTATATATAGTACATTTCTTTTTCTTAGAGTAAAGAACTAGAGTGAATTGTCTTATAAATCATTACTTATATTCATTCAAAATAATACTTCTGCCACAACTAGAAGGACCCACAACAAAGAATATACAACTATGTACCAGGGGACTTTGGGGAGAAAAAGGAAAAAAAAAACCCCACAAAATAATACTTCTTTAGATCATTCGTTTTTCATGATAGCCTATATTGTAAAAATCTACTATAGTCTCAAAATGAAAAAATTAAACATAATAATTAGAGCCAAATTGCTCCTCATCTATAAATTATTTTCTCTCTGCCAGGGACACCAAGCTATGGTTGCTCTCCTTACTTTGATCAGAAGTACTTCTCTCCAACTTCTTCATTTTCTGTAATAACCCAATTGTGTACAATCTTCCATCTCATGTCGAAATCTTGAATGAATTGTTTTGTGTTTTTACTGTATACTACTTCCTAAGGGTGATGATTCACCTCTGTTTAGAACTCACTATGAAAAGCCCTGCTTAAAAAATGTTTCTCAATTTTATTTTCTCAAGGTCTTCTTCCAACATTGAAGCTAGTAGAAAAGTCACAGTTAAGCCTACCAACACCTCCCTTATTTGAATGTATTTCAATCTCATTTTCTCTTTATTTTAGGTTTTCCAGGCCTAAAGGGACCAACAATTTTAGTCCATTCTATTATGGCATCACTCTTAATCTGCATTCTTTTCATTGTCCACCTTAGGTACTTCTCCATCATTGTGCTACCACACACTTAAAAAGTAAACAATGACCAAGTTTCAGAAACTGTAGCTTATAAAGATGCATGGTCATGCTATGTTCAGAATAGAACCTAAGATGACTAATTCTAGAACAACTTGTGATGAATAATTGTATAGTTTTATAAGCCCTATTGATTTAGGCAGTATTTTCATAATAATCTAAACTAATACTTTCCCTCAAAAAATATTTTTAAAGAATTTAACTGTCCTTTCTCATCCATGCCATAACATGCTATTTTTGTCTTCAAAATGGTTATAAAATCAAATTTCTTGTATTAATGGGTTTCAAAAATTACTATAACTCAAAGCAAGGCAAATACTGTAAAATAAACCATCTTCTGGTTGTTAAGAAATGAGATCACTCCATCTTGGATGACTCAACATAAGATGTGTGAAATTAATTTATTGAACAACTGAAGGTTGAAGTAAGGTTCTGAAATTTAGTTCTTTTGTAGAAGGGTAGACAGTGATTTCCTTCAGAGTATGTGTCTGACTCTGATTAAAATTCTTCTGTTATGCTGCACAGATGAAAGAACAAACTATTTTTGTTTTAAATTGATAGCACTGGATTCTGAAACTGAGCCCAGAAGATTGGATGCAGATTTCAAAGGACAGTACACATCCATGCACTCATGAAAGCCCTTAAAACTCCACACCACAAGGTCAGATGAAAATACCAATGCTATTTGCTGTTCATTGTTGTGTGATGAAACAGATTGGCAGTAGCTAATAATATTTCTACAATTTATACCTATGCAAATTTAAAGCCTATATTAATTAAACACAAAAGCTATGTTGAAACATCAACTCATTTCTACTTTTGCCTGCTGATTTAAATTTGAAAAAATCTATCCACCTCTATTATTTTTTAGCATACTTTAAATAATCTGTGTGTATAAGAAATGATACTTAATGTACACTCAGTTATCAACAGTCTAGAATTTTGGAAAGTTGAAACAACATACAGTCCAAAATTATATAAAGTAGAGCCTTTATCACATGAGTCAGATGAATTTTATTTTATTTACATAGCATATGCCAAATGTAACAAAAGGAAGTAACTCAGAAAAATCCAAGGTAATCAACCAAGTATTACAACATCACCATTGATAATCTACAAAATAGAGAATCTATGTACAAATAGTCATGAGTAATAACTTTAATCCACTTATTTTGAAACAATTTTGAGGCAGTTTACAATAAAAGCATAGGTACAGGAAATATGAAACCATTAGTCCAAAATTAAAATATAAAACTCAAATTGTAAAAGGCAAGGCTTGGGGGAAATTAAACAGAAAAACTTCCATTAAATAACTTGCACTTAATTCCTTATCTGAATAAAAAGCCTTGGCTATCAATCAAAAGATTGACAAATAAATGAATATTTATATGCTTTAAGTTGAAAGAATATGTTTGTTTATGTGTATGTAATCTTTCGTAATTTCAATATTTTCCAGAAATTTCAGTTAACTAACCGATTGGATCCCAATTGTGTAAAGATAAGAGGGTATCAAGTGAGTTAAGAAATGATGATGGAGGAAAACAGCAGCAGTTGGGCATAAAATTTAGTTCCAAGCCGAAGTGGATTTGCCCTGCAGCTAATAAAGCTTAAGCTTTAAGGTTCTAAACTGGGATGAGGCTCTCCCACAGTCCTGAACCTAATTTTCTATTCATAATTTTGAATTCTTTTTTCTTAAACAAGGGTCCCCAAATTATATAGACCTGAGGTCCCATAAAGCTTGGATTGGTTCCTGCCTCCAACTTTCTCGGTGGTCAAGGAAAGATGTAGTTGATTACACAATGCTCAGTGTTTAATAATAGTTAAAAATTGCCAGTTTACCAAGAATAATAAACATTTTCCAGTTGGTATGCTCATAGAGAAGTTTACTATTAAATGCTTCATGTGAGGACATTGAAAAATATAATTATAGTCTGTTGGCAAGGATGTCTCAATATGGCAATATATCACAGAAAAATGCAACATTATTCTACCCATGGTATTTCTTTACATAAGCAGCAAAAGCATGTTATTAAAGCATATTTCACATACTGGTCTTTGTTCAGGATGGCACAAAGGGGCCCTGGAGAAAAGTTTGGTACGAAAGTTTGTTATGGGGTGAGGGGTGGAGAAGAATAATAGCAAACTCAAGGGGGAGGAGAGAGAATGAAATAGAAAGAGATGAGCTAAAAGAACAAGCACATTGTGTCCAGAAAGGATATTATCCAGACACAGTAGAGTGGAAAGATGAATCATCTTGTGGAACTGCAAGATTCAACAACTCATGTAGAATTTTCCATTACTATCATGCATAAAATGAGAGCAATAAAATTAAAGCATTATTAGTAATGAGAAAACTGGATTTTCAATGCAACTAACTGACAAGATGATATAAAGGTAATTGGTCATGAGAATGTTTAGCAGTAGTAATGGATTGTCTATTTTAAAAATTGCCTTACCATAATTAAATTACAAAAAGTCACTGTTTCATTGCAGCACATTCCTGTATACCATAATAGTGAAAAAAAATAACTATTTCGAGCACAGTATGGATATTATTTTCCAACAATAAGTATTCAAATCAAGATTTGTTCATTGTTATATTACTGGCACATTGAGCACGCCTGACTTAGATTCTCAGTAAATACTTTTTAGCAAATTAAAAATTCGCACAAAGCATTCATGACACTCTAGAAATTTAAAATATTATAATTTTGTTATGAAGGGCATAATGTGAGTAATAAATAAATATAATTACTGTACACTGTAATTATAAAAAAGGACTCAATGTGCAACAAATTACATATACATAATAAAAATCACAACTCTACATTATAAATGTAATATATCAGAAACTATTAACTGATCATTGTAAACATAAATTACACAATGCAAACAATTGCTTAGAGACTGCTGGAGTGGAAGGCGATTTCAATTGTTTATATCACTTTAAAAAACTATCCAGGGAAGTTTATAACTTGCCTTCATTTTCTCATATAGCAAGTAGAAATATTTAGAATTAGTCACTAGACCCTAGAAAAGCACTAAAATTGGGGACAAGTTTTATAGAATTAACAACTGAGGTATCCAATATTTAAGAGCTTCATCAAAGGCTTTAGTTGAGAGATTCTGGAGAAGTCTTTCTTAATGATGTTAACTTTGTGTTTCTTTGTACCTCTATACTCCCAAAGAATAGCCTTGAAGGGTAAAAGAACTCAAAAAAGAACTAAGAGTACTCCTTCAGAAGTGTGTGTAGAAAGCAGAAATACAATGGCACAGTCATACTCTTCTGTCCTGGCAATAATTGGGGTTATGTGATTATAATATTATTTTCTTTACTTAAGCATCCCTGACAGAGTCAGTTTCTTACCCTCTATTCTCTACTTGAGTCCTTGTCTAGTGCCAGCACCTTGGGACTGTGCCTTAGACATTATGGAATAAATTAGAAGTAGGGTAATTTAAATTGTCTTGAATAATCGGTGGACAAATTCAGAGATTTTTAGTTAGGATAATTATTTCCTATTTAAGTTTTGATGCAGTAAAGATTCACTATTCCATCCACCTTTTCTTCCTTCAGGCTGGAGACAATCTCTAGGCAATACATTGAGAAAGAGAAAAAAGAACGTATACTTTCTAATTTGTATATCCCTTTTACTAATTAAAACAATTAATATAGCAATACGTGTGTTTGATAAAAACACAGTAATAAATTACCACCTGAGTCAGCCATTAGAACTTTTGAATTTAGTTACCTCATTACTGAATTTACAGTTTGCTAAAATGACTCATATGTGCACACCAGTTAATTTACTATACTTTTCTAATTTTGAGTTATGAGGTACGATATAATCTTTGTTACATAAGTGGAACATGTCTATTCCTGCCTATCCAATAATTAAAACTTTGGAACACATTTTATGATGGGAATTTGTATCCTATTATTTTAAGAAAAATTATAGATGTTTGGGAACAAGAATGTGCACTAACAAGAGGACTTGCTATATTTGACATAAAATGTTTCTGATTTAAAAGAGGTAGAATTGCATTATTTTGTATATTACCGGCACAGAATTGTTGAAACTTAAAGGGCAAGATCAGGCTCTCAAAGAGAATTATCGGCTAAAGTAAAGGAAAGTTCTGATTGGGTACAAGAAAAAGGCATAAAAACAAAAGAGCAAGTAGAGATAGGGCAGGAAGCACACACATTAGAAATAATCTAGGGGCTAAAAGTAGGTACTTGCACGAAGCAAATACAGAATTAATCAAAAGCCTGACATCTAATTACAGGAAAGTCCTGGGCTAAGAAATGTAGAGGGCTAAGAAAAATAAGAAAATTAACATTTAATCTGAAAGGGTTAAACCTGGCCGTGATTATCTTAGAAATTGAAATGGGAATGCTCCTTCCGGGCTGTAATGAACCGGCCTTAAAGTTCGAAGCCGTTCAGAACCGAGGACAGAGGCAATTCAATACAGCCGCATAGATTTTCTCATCCCACTTGTCTGAGATTCATATATAATCATAGAGCTGGAAAGAACTTTAGAAATCATCCATCCCAACTCCTTTACGTTACAGATAAGAGAACTGAGGCACAGGGTTATTACCAACTTCTCCAGTCACCCTGTTAATAAGGGGTGAGGTTCAGTTTAGACTCTAAGTCTGCTTATACCTAACACAGTGTTCTCTAGGACCTGCAAATTTATTGTCACGTGCACAGAAGATTTTGAGTGGTTGTTTTCATATTAAGAAGGTAATTTATATTTGACTTTTGTGTATGTATTTGTTGGTCTGTGTGTGTGTCTGTATGTGTGTGTGTGTGTAGCTTAATAGTCTAGATGAACAGAAAGAACTTTTTCTAAATAGCACAAGTGACCAGATTGTTTCAGACCAAATGTGCCCTTCCTAATTTTGGTGTGTTTATTTGGCAATGGTCATAAGAAAGCTGCCAAAGTTCAAAATATCTTCTTAGATCTTTCTTTCCTTTGTTTAGCAATATTTTAAATAGTTACTTGTTACTTTAATCTTTTTATTCTGCAGTTTTCTTGTCTCATAGCTGAGAACTCTTCTATACCATTTTTTTGGGTGGTCTTTGTTTTTGTATTGTTAATTTTAAAATAGACATACTTTTGCTAAATTGGCTCATTTTTTCTTCTTTTTATTTGAAGCTTTGGTCAAAGAGAATTAGAATTTACGAAATTAAACTATTGTTGAGATTTCGTGAGAAAGGATCAATCAGGGAAAAGTTGTATTATTGTTACAGAACATTTTGTCTACGTTTAGGCAGAGATATCAAGAGGAACTAAAGTAAAGATTAAGTGCAAGTAATAGCATAAGATTCAGAGGCTTATTTTATTATCTATACAGTCACTCAAATAGTAAGCTAAATTAGAAACGGAAACATGAATCCTAATTTGGAAACAATGTATTTAAAAAAACCCAAACAACTTTGTCCTGCCTAGGGAATGTTAGAACTTCTTGATACAGTAGAAATATTATGCGCTCTGGAGTCTGAATACAAATGTTGGCTTGACTCATTCTACACGATGTTGGAAAAATTTCTTAGCCTCTTGCAGTCCCAGTTTCTCTCTTTGAAAAATAAGAATATGCTTTTGTCCATACATGTAGACATATCAGACCTCCTTGATGGGGACCCCTAAATAGCTGAAATGATAAGTTTCTGTCCTTGCCTCCATACCTCCTCCTAGCACCAGCTATCAACACCCAATCCGATCCTTTAAGGCCTTTGGCCTTGGTCCCACTTGCCATGAACTCTGGTGCAAGGCTCCAGAGATCTTATAAAGATACAGGGTC